TCTCTCTCTCTCTCTCTCTCTCTCTCTCTCTCTCTCTCTCTCTCTCTCTCTCTCTCTCTCTCTCTCTCTCTCTCTCTCTCTCTCTCTCTCTCTCTCTCTCTCTCTCTCTTTCTCTACTTATATTGTTCCATCCCTCGCTAACTCTTCATTCCTTGCCTTCATTTTCATCCCTTTACTCGCACGTCGCTTCTTCTTCTGTGTCATTAAGGCGTTTCTATGGCCGCGACGAATTATCGTTGAATAAAGCGGCGCGATTAAGGCAACCTGGATGCGACGTAAAACGAATCTTTCTAAATTCTCGGAAGATTTTGGCTCAACAGTTCTCTCATTCTCTCCTCAAAAGCATCCCTTACGAGGGGATGGAACTAACACAGAAGACTAGATATATTTTCCCTCCAGATGTTCGCGGTCTTTCACCTTCTCCGACGCGCTAATTATGAGATTACAAATAGTATGTCGCAATTACTACAGCGAGAAGGCGAATTAATTTCCCCGATTTTAATCATGATAATCTTAATCTTTTGCCTTGGATTCCTTATGTTTCTTACGCGCGTTCGCGTATTCCGACGTAAAAGAAATTATTTTATGACTTTATTTTCTTTGACTCGTTTAATTAATAACACATTAAATTTAATTAATAACACGAGAATACGTTAATAGCAAAAATGTTAATGAGGTAAAATTATCGCTCAAGAAATAAAATAATAATTTAAAGAAATAGTAATATATATAAAAAAATGTAGTCTTAAATTAATTATATCTTAGAACCGTCAATTATAGTCAATTACATTTACAATCAATTACATTTCGCAATCAAAAAAATTATCTATCACAACATCCATATTTTTTAGAGAATTATTATTTGCTTCAAGATGTTCTTATTCTTTCTTTCAAGGCATTGTACTTCAAATAAGAGAGCCGCAATTACTCAGATTGGAACTTAACACTGAAAAATAAAAATAAAAAAAGAAGGCATTCACTTTATCATAATGGAATAAAAGAATCACTGCTTGAGAATACATGAAATCCACGAAGAAGTCGCCAGACAGTCTGTGATATTCACAGACCATGCAGGGTCGAATGTGCGAGATCGCGAATTGAAAATTGTGCTATTGTTTCTTCTGGAAATCATGGGGACGAGAACGACGTCTAAGGAGGAAGCTGCGCGCGAGAAGTTTCACAAACTGTTCCTCGTTTCGCAAAGAAATCAGGACATTGAATTAAAATCAAATAATGCTGGTGGTTTCTGCCAGCAAGCGCGCTGTCGGCGACAAAACGGCACGGTTATTTCGTAATTTTATCGATTTATGAGACAGCATCGGCGAGTAAGAAACGCGTCGAGTAAGAACAGAATGCAAAGTTTGCTGAGTAATGCACTGCCTAGTTTTGTCTCCTCGTGAAGTAAAGAAAAAAGAATGAATAAAATAAAGAGAATTAATTTATTGAACGTTTGAATGACATAAATTAATAAATGTTTTGAATAATCTGCCTCAAAATTGAAATCTATCGCGACTGATATTTTGATAATATAAAAATAAATATATTTCATTTGATATATTTTTATAACACAATTAGTGATAATATAATAAATATGACATGGTTTCCATAAATTTTTTTTTTTTTATACAATTACATGCACTGGTTTAAATAAATATAAAATATTGAATGTATTTTAATATAAAAAGTGATACAGTCAAAGTGAAATAAATATATTATATGGTTTTTGCAACTTATACGTAGTTGTAATAGAATTCAATAAATTTTCTCATGTTTTATGTTCGTACATTACACTACGGTATGAAATTTATATTACACATTTTAAATGTGGCCATGTGGTACAACATTTTAAATGTGGCCATTATAGACACTATTTTTTAAATAATTGTAAATTTATTACGTTATATAAATGCAAAATTTTATTACTTCAAACAGCAAGCTTGTGATATCTTATTTTATTAAATACATTTGATTTTGCAATAATAACGAATTGTATCAATATATTAATATAAAAAGTCAAATATAATATGTTCGTATAAAGCTCAATTCATACAAATTACCGTAATGATATGATTTGATTTATTCTGTGCGTATTCTGTGCGTATGCATGTGCGCGCGCGTGCGCGTGTGTGTGCTGAAAATAATATATATATTGCTAGTATATTTTCTAGTCTTTTCTGCTTAAAATGTATGACATTTGCTAAAAACATGAAGTTACACGAATAGACATCTGCCCTCCAACCCTTTGGCCAAGCGCCATCGAAATTTGGAACATAAAATAGTATGAACGATGGTAAATTTTTCACGTTGTCGTGGGAATTCATGAACGATACTTTTGCGCGATATATCTGTACGCAATGTGCAAATTTTTCGATGAGAATGGTCCAGCAAATTGAAATATCGCGTAGAATCATCTCAAACAACCAATAGTGATCATCGAATCAAATCGAATTTCAAGCGTTTATGCAAAGTGGTAATTTTTCACTTGCTCGCCAAGTCCATGGTAAGCTCTTTTCCCTATTGCATATTGAAAAATGAATTTCACGTTTGTGATAGAACATGACCGGCTCTTATGAATTTTATGCGCTGCGAAAGGCAAACGTAACGGATATGTTCTATTTCCAGCCAGTTTCATCGCGAACTTTTAATTAACGTACCGACAAAAAAGTTCATTTTTCTTCAGAAACCGACTTGTCTGTGATACATGACTTTTTTGTATTTGCACATACGATTTAATTTTATCTTCAAGAGTCATAAAGATCGCAGACAATAGAATAATATCTATTACAAGATAATGTTAATTAGCATTAATATTAATTTTTTAGTTGTAATATGAGTTTTAATTTCAACGGTTACCGTGTTTCGCATTGACTCTATTCGCTTAATATACTTATATTTTTATGTTCAGGTAAATGCATAGGACCTGTTCAACACATAATTTGTGCGGTAGTGTTTGTGCGAAGGGCCACCGAGAGGCCGAAGCAGGGGGCTTCCGAGATGAGCTATGAATCTGGGCTGCCTGGTAGCCTCTATCTTTGTTTTTCAGCTGCTTCAGCTGCCATCAGTGCTCAACGCGCTACCTTCGGTCGTCAAAATAGGTAAGTTCACATCTCAGTTTACTCCGTGATATAATTTTATTTTACATCATTCTTTGCATGTTTATCATCATATTCAATTTAAATGAAAATGTAACCGATGTGGTTTTTTTTATTTTTATGCTTTTAAACAAATTTTATAAAAAAATAAATGTTTTGTCTAATATACATAAACAATATATATTTGTGTAAACTGACTGTGCAGTTGGTTTTATTTGGATAAAGCAAAATAAAACACTATTTTTTCGCATGCAATATTGCATATGGTTGAACGATTAATATAAACCATACACATACTAAAAAATGCATATGCAATATTAAAACTGACTTTAAATTTTAATGTACTTAATGTTAAATCTTAATTTTGAATTATTCTGAATGCAAATACATAATTTTCTTTGACAACTACAAAAAAACTAATAAATATTTTGTTTACGCTCTTTACTGGTGTTTTTGCTTGAAAATTATTTGTTTGCCTTGATCTAATATTATCAAAATTGTAATATCGTTTCTTATTTCTTTTACGATTAAATCAGTTTATACCAAGCGAGGAAAAGTTTGTCAAACATGGGTTGGATTAGACGCGTGGGCTGATATCTTTTTCTGACACTTTCCCGAAGCTTGTCCTTTTCCCCTTACAAGTTGCTTTCTCGAAAACTTTGGTGTATCTAAGAGCCGCTTCTCAAATCAAACTTTTCTAGAAGTTGCCCCTAGGTTACGTTCTTCGTCAATGTCTTTGGCAATAATTATTGCACTCAAGATACACATGGATCTTGAAATACTCTTGGATATAATGATTTTATCTAGTTTGTTTGCGCTCCTTTTTTTTCTTCACTCTTCCTTATATTTCTTCTAAACATTCTAAAAACATTTCAAATATTAAAATGAAATACAATTCTGATTTTACGCCGCATTGTCTTTTTGTAAAATGCCTTAATGAATTTAAAAAACTGAATAAATTATCTCTAATAGAATTGAAGGATAATAGTATATTATACATAATTTCTTTTCTTTAGTGTATCGTACGATTATCGTATTTATAGGTAATTTACGAAATTCAATTATGTAATGCAATACCGAATGTTATAAGTGGCACTACTGATGGCTTTCTTGTTACTATAACGTTATAATAGAGATACGTCAGCTACTTAGTACATCAGATTACAGGTTCATAATGCACGAACATCCATTATCGTGTTACTAATGAGAGTCCGTTGAGTTACTTGATGGGCTTCTTGAGTTGCTAGTGTTTGGTTTATAACATCTTTATTAATTATTTTTTTATTAGATACAAAATATATCGATTCGAGATTTTTAGCATATCCATATATTGTATATTCATATTGCATTTATAGAATACATAATGTTAAAATTTACTTATTTATTTTGTTAGTTATGGCAGTTATAAATTTAAATTATACAAATAAATTTGAATAAAACATTTATATTGCTTGCAATTTCTATTTGCGTATTATTTATTATATGAATAATATACATCATTTTAATAGCAAGAAATAGAAAACTGAATATCTAAATCTTATAGATTTGTTAACAAATTTTAATACATATCAATTTAGTATATATCGATTTAACTGTCCGATTGAGCTTTTGAGAAATGAGAACTTAATTAAGCGTTTACTGATTAATAACTATTTGAAATTATATCCTTCTATATTAATGAGATAATATTACAGAACATTTAATCAATTTTCATAAAAGTAGAGATTAGTAATTTAATCAAAATATTTTTGAAAAGAAAATAAGAAAATATTTTATATTAAAGATAAAAAGTTTTTTAAATGTATTGTATTAATCTGTAATTTCCTAAAGTAATATATAAAAAATTAACATGAAATAATTATCAGATTTTGACCTGATCCCCACGGATAGCTTTGCGGATAACGAGCAGTAATGAATTTTGTGTATAACTACAGTGTTGCTGTTAATTAATGCGTCTGGTGTTAGCGCTCGCAACCAGACAGTTGAATTTGCTGTTAAATATGGACGACTGATGTAAATTATTAGTGTCATTGTACAGACAATACATGCACGAAGTTAAAAGATATCACAGCATAATTAATAACAGTTCTAAAAAAAATAGATATTTCTGCATTTTCAACATTTAAATCCAATGTTTATTATACTGACTATATTTTATATTCAGTAATTTTACAATTTTAATTTTATTATAGAAAAATTACATTTCCGAAAGTTCTTTGAATACCTTCTCAAAATGTTAATTCTTGGATCTAATCCGATTGGAAGAATGTTAATATCCGTATGCAAGAAGGCAGGCGGAATTCCGGTAATGGTTTTGCTTTATACTCCTGTTTCTGCGATAAAACGGTTAAATTCTCTCTCGAGTAAGCCGACAGGCCCGAGGAATTTACGCAGACAATATGTATATAACCGCGTGGTGGTGTAGCGCCTTGAAACGCAATATTTGTCTCGCGTCGTAACCTCTTGTTCCGCCTTTTCATTGAAATTGGATTTCTCGCCCGTGAATGCCCTCGAGACGCTCACGCATGTCTTGTACAAGTAGAATGTTTAGACAGCAAGAACAGATATAAAGATAAAAAAGATCACACGAATATAAACTCGCGAAGCAGATAATGATGGAGATGAACAATTACCATTTTATTCGTATTTTAATTTAAACAAACCTAGCT